CCCCGCCCTCCTTGCTCCCCTCCTTCCCCGCCTCCCCTCACCCTCCTCAAATGACAACCCCCTCTCCCCCCAAAAAACGCCCTCCACCCTCGCCCCAGTTTTTCGAGGTGAACATCCGCATCATGGGCGGCCTGCTGTCCGCCTACTACCTGTCGGGTGGGGACGAGCTGTTCCTGCACAAGGCGGAGCAGCTGGGGGACCGCCTCATGCCGGCCTTCAACACCACCACAGGCTTCCCCATCACGAAAGTGCAGGTGCGGGCAAGCGCGCCCCGCCCCGCCCCGCCGCCGCTCCTGGGCCCCCCGGGGCTGCGGCAGCTGGCTGCTAGATACTTCATGAGTCTTGCATATGGGCTGGATTCAAGCCATGCAGGGCTTGGTCGTCTGTTGCTGGCCTCGGATGTTGGAAGGGGGCGCGGCTCACGCGCCGGCGGCCTTCTCAGAGGTACCAACGGCTTGCACCCGCTTGCAAAATTGCCGCCATATGAGGTCCTGGCCGCCCTTTTTCTCTCCGCCGCCCCTCGTGCAGCTCAAGCCGACCTCCAAGGAGCGCATGCGCATGCCGCGCCAGGACGGCCAGACGAACCTAGCTGAGGCTGCCACTCTGTCAATGGAGTTCACCACCCTAGGCCGCATCACAGGTGGGCGGCAGTCGATCAGTTATTAGTCAATAGTTGTGCACTTGGGCCCGTGCACAAGAGGTTCAGCACGCGGCGCTCGAGCGGGGCTCGCTCTTGCCCGATCGATTGCGCGTGGGGCGGCGCAAATGAGTGATGGCCAGCAGGCTGGCGCATGCATGGAGGGAGGGAAGTGCGTGGAAGGCCGGCGTCGAGTGCCGGCTGGCCGCGGACGGGTCAAAGGGGCGGGCGGCGTCGAGGGCTGGGCGAGTGGCAGGCAGACGGGGGCGCGTCGTGTGGACATAGTCTTGCATGCGTCGCGCATGAGCAGGCGCCGAGCAGCTTCACAGACTGGATCTGCACACTTGCTGAGGCCCCGCAATCGTGAGCAGACGCCACGTGCGCGCCCGCAGCCTCACAAGCGGCGAGCTCGCCCCACTCTAACCACCACGCACCCATGTGCCCGTCCGGCTCCTGCAGGCCGGGACGACTTCTCACATGCCGGCATGATTGGGTGGTACGCCCTCATGGGTGCCAAGAACATCAGCGGCCTCTACTGCGTTGGCCTCACCACCGGCCACGGCGACTGCTACCTGCATAAGCTGTCGGTGGGAAGTGCGGCGGACAGCATGTACGAGGTGAGTCGCCGGTGACGTCACCCAGGGGGGGTATGGGTGCGCAAAACGTTGCGGGGGCTGGTTGAGGGGGTTGCTTTGTGGAAGAGGGAGCCGCTCACCCGAGTACGCGGGCCGTGGTGCAAGGGGCCGCGCCGAGCAGCCCCCCCCATAAGCGAGGGCTGCGTCAGCGAGACCCGGATCCCGCCCCTCACGCACCCTTTGGCCTCGGCCTGGCCATTCCCTCCTGATCCCGCCTGCATCCCGCGTCTTTGTATCCCCAACCCCAATCTTGCCCACCAACCCCCCTTTTCCTGCGTGTCAACCTTGATTTGAATGGTCAACCCGCAGTACATGCTGAAACAGTGGGTGCTGTCCAACAAGACCCAGGAAGTGCCGCTGTTGCTCTATAAGGACGCCATGGCCGGCATGAGGAAGTGAGGGGGCCGGCGACGGCGCGATGATGGCGTTGTCTGTGCGGGGCCCTGGACCGGGATGCTGCCGCTGCTGCTGCCGCTGCGACTGTTGTTGCTGCTGCCGCCGCTGCTGTGGCTGCCGCTGCCGCTGCCACCGCTGCCGGCTCTGCTGATGCCATTATCGCGACGCCGACGCCCTGGACCGCGCTAGGACGTGTCGCGCGGTCACCAGCGTCGTGAAGCTTCCCTGCAGTTGCTGCCACGCGAGCCCGCGAGGACCTCCTTGCACGCATCCCCCGCCGGCCGACCGCCCCTGTTTGCCCGTTTTGCCGCTGCCTCACCCTTCCTCAGATACCTGGTGCGCGACTTTTGGGACGGCACCGCCGACATGAGCTTTGTCAGCGAGGCCATGGGGGACTTCAACCTCGGCACCGTGCAGGCCACCAACGACCACTTTGAGCACCTCACATGCTTCGTCGGCGGCATGCTCATACTGGGTGAGTCCTGAACAAGGGTTGCGCTGTGTGAGGGGGGCCGACGCCGCCGGGAGGGTTGCCCGCTCCCGGCTGCGGGATTTATCAGGGACGCGGCCTCCTCGCCGGTGGTGCCCCTCAGCCGCCCGCCGGCGCGCGTGCCCCGTTGCAGGCAAGTGGCACGGCGTGTCGACGGCGGCGAAGCCCTCGGATCTGGACGACCTCACGCTGGCCGCCAGGATTGGCCGCGCGTGCTACGAGCTCTATCACCAGGCGCCGTCTGGGGTGGCGC